TTTTTTTTTTTTTTTTTTTTTTTTTTTTTTTTTTTTTTTTTTTTTTTTTTTTTTTTTTTTATCAGTAGTTATGTAAACGCGCGCGAGGACGGAGGGGGGGGGGAGATATCTTATCAGATTTAACAGAACAGCGTCGATTTAGTCGATTACCAAACAAACCAGCGCACACGCTTCCGTCAACAGAGGCGCGTGTAAATATATACTCACGCCGCACGTGTTACAAAGTCGTGTATACACTAAAATAGAGTAGATATACTTTTTTTTTTTTTATATTATAAGTAGTGTACTGACCCGCCATGGGTATGTACACTGTCTTCATTCATTCAACATTTGCCTTGTCTTTTAACATGTCGTTTTCATCGTATCATTATACATTTCTCTTATTTTCGCTTTGTCATTACATTTTCGTTCTATATTATTCGCATATCATAATCTTTTTTATCTCCCTGGTCACGCAGGACACGGTTATCGAGAGCTCGTCACACAATTCTTTATTTTTCTTTTCATCTTAAAAACTGAATCTTTATTCTAAGTCGGTTTCATGAATTCGATACTCGGCAAAAACCATCAGAAAAAATCTGAGTACCCCCCCGACCGGGAATTGAACCCACAACCCCTTGAGCTGTGATTTTTCGGTGGCTAGCATGCTAACCGCTGAGCCAACGACGAGCTCAGTAGGTATACGAGTATATATAATGTATTCAAGGTGTGCGCGTTTAAATGGAAAAAAAAAGGTAAACAAAGGAATTTAGCTCGAGGAAAAACGTTTACCTGTAGAGCCAAGAGAGATAACAACGGGAGCGCAGTAGGTGCGCGCGCGTGTGGCATTATGCTTGTGTGCTATCAATGCATACCGACGAAAACGGTAAAACACGTTATCGGTCAATGACTATATAGGCGTGCGTATCATGTATTACACACACACACACATATATATATATATATACCCAATGACCCAGAAACGCGGAAGCTGCACACACAAACCTATCACGCATGTAATATGTATATGTATATGTAACGCCGAGCTTATCGCAACGACCTTGCCACGTAATAATATCGGCGGCCTTGTCTCTCTCTCTCTCTGCGTTATCGGAGCAATTATTACTCTATTATTCTTACGAAGCTTATCGAGTTTCGTTACCTGCTGTGTTGGAAAAAAAAAAAACAACAACAACAACAACGTCGTGTTATCGACTATTGTGGTTTGGTATTTTTTCTCAGAAAAAAAAAAAAAAAAAAAAAAAAAAAAAAAAAAGGGTAAAACCCGGCCGCCAAAGTTTACCCGCAAGTAAAAAAAAAAAAAAAAAAAAAAAAAAAAAATTCAATAAATAAAACACCCACGTCCACTGGGCCAAAAGAAATCTACTCGTTAACGCGTGTGCAAAGCTCAGGGCAACCTGCATCTCCTTCAAATCAGTAGAACCACACCACGGCATCGGTCCGGATATCCTACGTACAACGAACCCTCTCACACGCGCACACAATCATACACAACGATCCAAGTGCTAATCGGCCGAGCGTAGCTGAAATGTCACTACGACTGACCCTTACTTCACGGCCATACTAGCCTACAGGTATAGCTCTCCCACCAAAATAATGTGCCCCCACCCCCCGTCCCTCCCTAAAAGTACAACTTTTCGTCGAAAGAGCACAAATTGCACCGGACGGTCGAGACAATGAATACTAAGGTAAAATGAGCGTCACACCTGTGGGCGAGCGCCTGCCACAGCTTTGTGTTCTCCTGTTGGTCGACCGGCGCGTCGGAGCAGTTGCTCTCGGGCGTGTCCATGCGACTGAGGGGACTGACGGCGTTGCTGTTGTCCTGGGGCCCCATCATCTTGATCGTCGTCGAGGTGGTAGGTGGCGGCAATCTCTCGGGACTGACCCTCTCCTCCTTGATAACGACAGTCGGCCTCTTGATGCTCATGTCGTGGCCGTTGGGGTGGTGCTCGCGGCTGTTGGGCCTCTCGGGCTCCTCGCCCATCTCGATCTCGAGCCTACCCGGGTCCGAGTCCAGGGAGGACACCTCCTCCTCGTCGTCCTGCATGTCGTTCAGGACGTTCGGGGCGTTCTCCAGGTGATACGTCGGACTGGTCTTTATCGAGGGACTTATGTTGGACGGCGAGCTCGTCTCGTCGTTGTAGATCTCCTGGTTGTGGGTCACGTAGTCGTGCACCTGGGCCAGCTCGGCCCTCAGCTCGCCCGACTCGGCGATCTTCTTCTCCTGTGCCGGACAAACGAAAACATTATTACTGCTTGAAACAATACCAACGGGCATGATGGTGCAGTAATCACCAGATGGACTTTCGTCTCTCCCACACGGGGTAAGCCTCGTGGAAAGAAAAAAAAAAAAAAAAAAAAAAAAAAAAAAAAGAGAGTCATGAGCGTTTATAGATTCTGATTGGTAAAAATGGAAAGGGCTTCAGAGAATTGACGAAAATAGAAGAGAACGAGAAATTGACGTGAGTCATGATAAAACGGAGATCCGCACATGTAATGGGGACTGTATCGCGTTATTCGCGTGCATGTATAATACGTGAGTCACACGTTATCTCTCTCGAGAGATATTTGCTGGTGTGAAAAATAAAAAAAATAAAGATAAATACTTTGGAAAGGAGAGAGTCTGGTTCGCTCAGAAGAGATGCCTTATCAGGCTCGCTCGTATATACTTATTTCTGATCCGCGAATAAGGAGATGTGCGCGAGAGAGGCACATCATCGTCGAGTGTACGTCTTAAAAAACATAACCTGCAAAGCCGCGCGGAAACGCACGACTTTTTTGCGCAATCCTTTCGACCCTTTCTCTATTGGCCAATACGTACATATATAGTTTATCAGACGTATACATATATAAGTATTTGGTTCGATCAGCGTGGAACTGTACAGGATCCGAAGGAAGCTAAACTCTGAAGACGCGATTCGCTCGTTATAGTAACTCCGAAGCGCTTAAGAGAGAGAAAGAACGGTATAGTCCTAAGTAAACACAACGAACGAACAACGGAAGCTACTTACTTACTCTCTGTTCTCCGAAACGTCAAATGCGCTTCGAAACGGCAGCAGGTGCAATATGCGTGCCATATACTTATGCACCCGAGTACTTAAAAAGTATCGATATCATGCGAAAGAGGTAAAACAAAGTAGGCCATATAAAAAAATGGAGCAACGACGCGGATGCGCGAAAGGTGAGAGGATACAAAAAATTGATAAAAAAAAGAAAGAAAGAAGAGACTTACCGCAAGGGTGAGCAGAGAGTCGATTTTGTTGGCGATACCGCGCTCGTGGCCCTCGTCCTCGAAGATGGAGAACTTGTAGCCGACCGTGTTCAAGCAGAGCCGGCAGATGTCACGAAACTTGGCCCCCGTGTCGAACATAATTTTGACTTGGCGTGTCCTTTATTAGCACACGGGACAACGACAACGACCGAAACGCGACTCATTAAGGACAAACGGGTACACACAGACACACACTCTCTCTCTCTCTCTCTGCTTCTGCGGCTCCTCTATATAATATCCTCCTGTACTGGGCCCCTCTCTTTCCTCCCTCGTCGCCGCCGTGCTCCGTTTTGCGTTATCTCGTCCGATTGCTATTGTTGGTCGAGTTATCTGGCATATGATACAAACGTAACAGCAGCTGTCGTTGTAAATAGGGCAGGTAGTCCGTACACTGGCGGCCTGAAACGAAGAAAAGAACAGTTGAAAAGATAAGCCGCGTCACATAGACAAGGAGTTAAAATAAAACACTCGGCGATAGACAGCCAAGTACTTTGTTTTATGTTCTTCATTTACCTCCGCTCACTTCCTCGGCCAGTTGTTGTTATTGTCGTCGCAGCAATAATAAGCACACACATCTATAGGCTGCTGGTGCGGTGTTTTTATATACCGTTGGCTGGTGTCAAAAATCGTCCATGTGCCCCCTACAGTTGTCTGTTCATTGTAACAGAGTACGTCAACGAGGAGGTGATGGCGAAGACAGCAGAGAAGGAGGAGTAGAAGAAGAATAAACCATCAAGCGTAGGCGGCCCTTTTCTAGGTTATATACGATGCAGTGGATACTGCATGTGTATGTACACAACGGCACATAAATACATTTGTACGCGTTGCAGCTGCTCTGATGGCTCTCTCTCTCTCTCTCTCTCTCCTGATCTGATGATGCTGCTACTGTTGCACACGGCGGCTGCTGCGGGGCTTAGATTTTATTACTGTATACATGTGTGTATATGTGTGTGTGGAGCTGATCTGTCGAGACGAGATAAGAGCTGACGATGACGATTCCAATGCTCTCCTGATGTGTACTTACACACTCGTTCACCACTCAATTTATCATAAACGTACACTCGCGCTTATCAGTCGCGCACTGGTTATACCGTATACACAAATACACCCTTCGATGTGTATACATACGCACTAGGTGAATATAATAAATATTGTGTAAGCTATACTGGCCATTATCATCATTATTTATTACGTATGTACAAAAAAAAAAAAAAATTAAACACACATGTCTCCTGTTGCCCAAGTATAGGTACTAAGTATTTTCGTGGGCGCGCGAATAAGAAACAAACACAGCCGACGTGGAGAGAGAGAAGTAAGTATTACAATTACAAACGACGAGAGAACGCGCGCGAGTATATTTATGTTGTTACAAGTACATATATATATACACACACAAAGAGATAGAGAGCAAAAAACGAGCCAGCAGCAAGAGCAGAGAGAATAACTATCTCGCGCGACGCTCGCCGTGCCGAGAATCAGACTGACTGCAGACGTGCAGACTACTGTGCCGCTAGCTGTGTGTCCGATCTCTCTCTCTCTCTCGGCGCGCTCTTGTTTCCCCCCTTCGCTCTTTTCGACCGTCTCTCTTTCTCTCAATGGCAGCTCGATCGGCTACTGCTATCTAAATGCGCGCGCAGAAGCTGCATGTGTGTATGTTCTCAGTGTTCTGTGTGTTAAATGCCGATTGTTCCAAAATCGGCGACCGGTGACGCAAAGGACCAACGATATGCGAAATTGTACGTTGGAAAATTCCTACGTTTCCTCAACTATTTGTACATATTTATTTGTTACCTTGCGATAGGTGTTTCAACATGTTCTTCTCTCGGCGTATATATTTATATGTACTCTTTTTTTGTAAGAGACACGATATTTCAAATTAGTACGATCAATCGAGTCTTGTCGATTAAAGGCCCCGACGGCCGCGTACCAATGGAATCAGAGGAAAAAGGAAAATCATCCAACACGCATTTTTCGACTCCGAGCTGCTCTTGTATAGTAGTATATTTATATAGAGGAGAGATAACAAACACACCGTTATAATGTGTGTATGTAGGCATAGAGCCCGACAGTTTTATTTCACTCTCGCGTGTGCCATCGCTTTTTTTTTTTTTTTTCTCTTTATGACGGGTATTTCGAGAACAGAGAGATAGTAAGTATATAGTATGTATAAGGTACACGTACGCGTGACCAAACGCAAACTTTCTCAGATTTACGATCCAGAGATAAAACCCGGACAGTTATCCCGGACTGATACGGGTCGCCACCGACGTTTCGGAATTTCGAGAGGCGAAAATTTGGAAATCCCCTCGGCGGCTCTTAAACCTTTCGTATATATACCTACTTATCTCCGGATTTTTCAGCTCGTCCAGTTGACTTTCCATGCAAAGCGAACTCATTACGGGCATATAAGTACCGATTTTTCGTCTCGTACGGGCACAAGTGTCAACTATAATAATTCAAAAAGCGAGCGTACGTTATCGGTATCCAAAAACGCGAGTTTCGCGCTACATATTTTTTTCATCAATCCTTGGAGTCAACATGAGTAAGTATTTACTCTGGAAGAGACCGGCAAGCTGTTGGGCGCAGCTTGAATCGAGTCGTCGTTAGTTTGGTGGGTGGCCAATGGGGGCAAAAACGTGGAATTCGATCGAGCGTATAGAAGGCGCGACGAGCGTGCGATGAATTTTGAATCTCCCGCGCTCGAGTTGCGGTGTTTTTTTTTTCCTTAATCCTTCGAAAAGGAGAAAAAAATACCATAAATATAACGACTCGTACAGGGAAACGAAGGTATGTACAGGCTCTAATGAAGTTACACAACAATTATCGGTTTTCATCGTTTTATTTTTTATTTTTTAATAAAAATAGTACAGATGTACAATAATTTTTTTTTTTCCTCCCTGTCTTTATACATTTCTTTCGTGAGTTTTACAAATTATTTGCACAAACTCAATACGTATCAAGGGATGTTTTCAAATAACATTAGGAAATCGAGGATACAAATGACAATTGCTGTTCTCCCCTGCTTCCTCGAATTTTATACATAATCTACGCCCTACCATTGAATCAAGTCAACAAACAGTAGAGATCGAAACAGTGTGCTCGTCTACAATTATATTTTGTACATCGCTAAAACTTATTTTATCAGAAACAAAGAACAAATAAAAAAAAAAAATTTGGCCCCTCAATATTCGTGTATATACCATTTTTCATCGATCGTTGCCTTTTTTTTTTTCTGTGCATACCAATCCCATCGATGATAGGGAAAACGTTACACAGGGTATAATATACAGTCGATTTGGCCCGTGCGCGGTGGGCGAGGAAATAAAATGAAAAAAAAAATCAAGGCAAGCAAACGCGGGCGCGTCCCCCATTATCAGCGCATGCAGAGCGACAACGGCGGCGTCGATGACATCCTCTCCTCGCGTCCAGAAATAGTTAAACCACACCCGACAACAGCTCACTTCTCTCTCTCTCTCTCGTCATCCGCATAATGTTCGTGCACACACGTTTACCATGCATGCATCAATATTACGTTACAATCAAACATGTACACGCGAGCGCGCGTATACGTGGGAAACACATGACTAAGCCCAGGCCCTCCCACGCGTCACTCGAGAGATAGATTGATAAATACACTCTCGCCAATCGTACAAAGTACATATACGTATCGCCTGATATTATTACGTTATAACTCCTGTTGCGACCGCGCTCTGACTTCTCCCCCTTCTGCTTATCATATTATTGTTATTATCATATGATATTATTGTATACAAATAATTGCGCGACCTCTGTGATTTACATAATAATATATTATACATGGTGATCGATTTCTCCGGTGTTCGTCGTCATATCTCTCTTCTGAATGGCTTGGAAGTTTTTCTGTTTGAAATTACGTATATTATATAGCCTATACTCGCGCGATCGTGGCTCATTTATGGGTGCAATGTACCAAAATTCAACTGATTCGTTCGTTTATGTAAGCGCGATTTTCTCTCAGCAACGACCGAAGAAGAAAATTCGGTTTTTCTCTTTTGTTGTTGGACGTGTAAAATAGTTTGACGATCTGTGCACGCGACACGCAACCGATTTTTCGTTCAATCGTCCGTTTCCTATTTTCTTCCTGTGTATATAACCCTCTCGGTACATCCTGTGCAAACGGTTTTAGACGCACGACCCATCGTGTAGCGCGTAAGTATGTATACGTCGCGCGAGAGCTAGCGGCAAAATATCGCGTTCGCGACTCGAATGAGGAAACACGATGATGTAGGTACGTATATGCTACATCGTCGAAGCGAAAAAATCGATAAGAGAGATCGAGAGATTTTTCGACGCGATACGCGTATATGTATGTTATGTTAAAAAAGCGTGTGATGGTGTTGCATCGTTAATCGCCAACTGATGACTAATGTGTATACGGAGATAATGGCGTGTGTATACGCCCGCGCTGAGGCTCATCCGAGTATACAGTATGACCGACTGTAGAGCTAGACGGGCTTTGCAAAAAATTAATTTTTCGAGGGGTGAGTGTCTCCGACCGATTTTCGATATCCCATGGGACTACTTTCGTTTTGGAATGATGCTCAATAAATTCTTGATCAAATAGATTGGAATGTTTTTTTAATTGCAGGAAAAAAATGCTTCCTCTGGTGTTTGGTTCGAGTATTAACGGGCTCGATCGATCAAAGCTAGGAAAATTAGAATTTTCTCAAAGTGAACGTTCATTCCTGGATTAGCATTTTTTCTCCAATTGAAACGCTAATGGTGTATTATTAAAGTTATTTTGATATTTACAGATATATATATATATATATATATATATATATATATGTACTATGATAAATTGCATACCGAGAATAGCTTAATAATAACGAATCTTAATGGTATAGTTGCAATATGTGTCGCAATTCAAGCGAAATTTAAAACTCAATGATAAAATTTTGCAAACGTATAAATTCAACAGTAAAATAAACCAAATTACTTAAAATTTTAATGAAAAAACGATAAAACCTACGAGAATATCACAAGGTGTTCTGTTTCACCAATTCACCTTCGGACTCGAAGTACTCGTTCTTTCCCTTATTTTGGCGTAAAGTTGCCAGCGTTTTGTAAAACTTCTTGAACACATTTCGAAGCATTTGTACCTGCAAATAGTAATATATTTTTTTTTTCTTTGTTTTGTCAAATAGAATTCTGAAAAATGTGTATTTTGTCCCCTGGGAAGGACAAGATATTATCTCAGCTCCAAAATTCAAATACATAAAAACAAAAATTCGTTAGCCAATGACTTTACCGTCGGAAAATTAGAAACATCTTGGGAAAGCAGAAATTTGCACTTTTTCAAATAAAGTACCTTCTTTATCTTCAAAACCTAAGTAATAAACCGCGTTCCGAGTAGTGTGGCGATACTTTCTATTTTTTCATTGCAGAGGTAATGAACCCCGTTTTTACCAGGAAAGGATTCACGTAAAAGTTTGCTTTACCTTAGTCTTGTCTTTGGCAAGATTGTTGCTCGATCCAAGCAGAATATGCACTTCTTTGATTAGCTGCAGTTTAAGCATCAATTCACGTCGATGACGATTCAAGAAACGTTTTTCAGGCTTCGATAACCAGTGGAATCGTCGTAATCGGCGTAATTTTTTTAAATATTCCTCGAGAACGTCGAGACAGAGCCAACGAGCGCGATCTAAGCAGTCAACTGGTGAACCTCCGGCGCTTATTGCGCACAGGTTCACTAAGGCCTCTACGTGTGATTCTTCATCCAGATTTGCAAGAACAAAGCTCAAAAGGTTGCCTACCGAGACCGGCAACGTCCACGGAAACAGCGTACTATCTTCTTTTCTGTAAGAAGAAGCGAGAAATGAATAATGTCTAGAATTACTTATCTGTATAGGATAAAAAAATAAAACCTTTAAAAGTTTTACCTTCTTGCGGGAAAAAATAAAATTGACGGATATCGATTCATAGTGTACTCCCAAGGTAGATCGTTATTATCACCGTCAATACGGACAAACTCCAGGTGATCCATTTTCGACAAATACTGCGCTACCGTCAAGTACACATAAGCTACGGCACTGCAAAAAGCGCAGTACGGTGAATGATACATGACAACTACGTCCTGAAATTGTAATATGAAAAAAAAAATCACTAAATAATCCACGAGTACACGCTTAGAATCACTAACCTTATCAGAATTAAGAACAGTATCTGAAAAATTTTCGGTCGAAAGCTCTTGTACGCAAATCCTCGATTCCACGCTCTTCCTGCATTCGCTCTTGTTAATGAAGGAACGTACAAAGCGTTTTGGATTATTAGAGCGCAGAGTCCGGCTGAGGTAGCCGTTTGTGTAGTTGTTGATAAACTGCACAAGCGTGTTCTTACCAAACTCTTCTTGCATAACGAATTGACTCTCGTCCTTTGATAAAAAAAGAAAAGAAAAAAAACTTATTTATTTACGGATGAATCATTAATTTGAGGTAAGCTTACAGCGGGGTCCATTATCACAGCAGCAGTCTTATCGGGGCTGCGGCTGATGTCGATGCCGAGACCTTCGGCAAAGTGCAAATAATGAAGACTGTCAATGGCAACTATGGCTAGAGTTTTGTTGACTTTGCAAATGGCATCGGTCAGCGGAATCTCGTCGGAACCGCTGTTAAAGTCCGAGTTTTGAGGAAATATTGGTCGCTGATAACTGTAACCAGACAGAAATCTTCTGCAGTCTTCCTTCAAGGCTGTTCTCTGAACTGCTATCGACGAGTACGGATCGATTTCTTTTTCGGTCGTTGTATCATCCCTGCACCTGAAATTTTTGTTAATTTATTTTTTCCGATAAGTATTTAACTCTACAAAAATGTAAAAAAAATTAGCACCTCTCGGCAAAGCATCTGCCTTCGTGACTGTCGGTTTTTCTGTTCTCAATGTAGCCGAAATTCTGATCTTCTCCAAAAGCAAATGTTGGTAGACTGAAAACATCGCTACCTCGGCAAGCGGATCCAGGAGCTGCGCACATTTTGTCCAGATCTTCGCTGCTACGTTTCGAACACGAGACGCACTTGTTAGTCGGTATATCCGAGCAACAGTTCGCTGTGTTGTTTGACCACCGATTTTTATTTTTTGCTAAAAATTCAGATAATTACAATTTTACACTAGTAACGAGCAAAACGAAGAGTTTTTGAAATAATATATGAATTATTTACCAGTCAACAGACTTTTGTTAGCTGTCTCTTCTTCGAAAAGATTCGTGCACCATTCTCTTTTCTTGTAAGCTATCAGGGGTGCCTCCAAACGGCTCTTGCGAAGCCTTTGAATCAAATTTTGAATTTGGGGACTGTCAGAACAGTCGTAATATTCCAGTGCTACTTCTCTCAACTGAAAATACCGATTTTATGGATCAATTATCCCATTAATCATTGAAAAAGGCCAGTGTACATGGTAAAACATACCAAATTGTAATAATGATTTTCGGAATGCAAGGGGTTTCGCGGAGTAAATAAAAATAGCATCGGACCACCCCACAAGTATGGAGCAAAGGTAAAAGATTTACTGCCTGGTGGCTGTAGCCACGTGACAACTCTGTGAACGACTTTATTGACCCAACCCGACAAATTGTCTGCGGTCCAAGCATTACCATCGGGATAGAACTGAAATACAAAGAAAAATATTGTTAACCATCTTTGTTGTATGCGTAAAATAAATCTTACTAACCAAAGTTTCATTCCACATGAGCAAGCTAGCAGCAGGAAATTGTTCAACTCCGTGATCACTGGCTGTATGAGAATTCGTTATCATCACATATGCTAGTTCACCGTTTGGGTATTTTTCGAGCGTTTGAAGCGCCGCCTGGTAAAATTGTTTGTAGCCTGGAGTACTTCTCAAACCCCAAAATCGGAAATATCCAATCATGACAGCCTTGGAAAAAAATGTTTTATTTATTTTCTGTGAACTTGATGTAAGGGCAGGTAGTTTGATTATCTTACATCATGAGATCTCAGTAAATCCATCAACTCATTATCACTGCTGACTCTCTTGATGGGATTCAAAAAGTTATGAATAAAGAGTATCATGTATGGTGCAGTTCTAATGCCTCGATATTGTACTCCAGATTCTTTGGAAGGATAGAACATTAAAACTGGATAGCTTTGTATTTTACTGTATCTAGCTCTACATTCCGAGCCAGGATGCCAGCAGTTGATTGCGGCAAAAAACACCTGTTAAAAAATTTTTAATTAAATTTTTTTTTTTTTTTTTTTATTAAAACCAAATCATCAAATTGATGAAAAATTTTTACCTGTGAATGGTAGTACCTAGCCACACTCTCAAATTCTTTTTTAATTGCTTGAGATTCGGCATCCCATGGAGCATAGTATAGAACGAAACTGAAATCTGAATCCGTCACTCTTTCAATCAGTGCATTCAAATGTCCCTTGTAGTAATCCAAAACTACAGAGCTCTCATTGAAAAATGGTCTTGCTATAGGTGGCTTCGAAACTCTTGGTGGCCTTAAAACAAGGTAAAATTTGCTTACCATTGATCCACCAATTGTAAATATATTTAAATCATCAAAAAGAAACTCACGAGCTATGCATGGCAGCCAATGCTGTAAAAATAACAGCGAGAAAGAAGCATATCGTCTCTCTAGCGTATGTCAACATCTTGCTGGACAATTTCCTCTCAAGAGTTGACTTTACTTTGCAATTTTTATTTTTGTTCTTAGCCACAGCTTTCTCTGTGTGTTCCGATTTCTCCTCATTTCTCGATGGTCTGTCAACTGGCTCCTCTGATTTGCAGTTCTCCTTGATGGTCATTATCTGCCAACGCAGGCACCTGGCCCACTCAGAAAACAAACTCCTGCTCCAAACATTAGAGCACCATTGGCACCCTAAACTGTTACCACCTTTCTCTGTTATTCCAATTTTGTTCCACCACCTCTAAGGAGATCTCATTGTCCAGTAGTCTTTATATTTTATGCTCTGTACTCTGTAATAACAAAAAAATCATTTAAATGGCACTTGCAAAATTTTTTTTATCCTTACAGTCATACCCTATACAGTAACTATAGATTTATTATTCATAAGTCAAAGTACAGCTAGCTTGTGAAACGAATACCTTGCGAGTAAAATATTTAAGAGTATAAAAAATTCAATACTATACCAAAGAAGTACCAACCCATTCCAATGGATTGTTGAAAAATGAAATTCGCATTCAATTTACTGTGATCACCTTATTTTTTTTTAACTTGATTGATCAAGATTCTAATTTTAATTCAATTGAACTTAACAAAGGACTGGATGTATAAATAACAGCTCCCCTGATAAAAATTACGTAACGATAAAATGCAATACTCACGACCGGTTTCAGTCCAAACAGTCAAACATCCAATCGACAGTTGACAACAAAAAGTGCCTATACATACTTTATATTTTATCGCCAATGACGATGCCTATAGCTTGGAAAAATGCAGCTACAAACATGCAATGATTCTCTTCTATAGCGACGTCACCCGGTAATTAAATAAACGGTCGTTCACTTGCTGCTATCAAGAAAAGGGTGAAACCAATTCAGGAGGGTTGTTTTTTCCAAATGGCATACGTGGAGCTTTTTTTTCCTTCTCTTTACCCTCGTTCGTTTTCGCTATATATATATATATCGCGCACACGCGCGAGAGCGGCAGACCGAGCAGACGACAATTTAACATGTCATAGATTTTCAGGTTAGGTCAGCTCAGCAACTTTACAAAGCAGACGACGCGAGAGGATCTTATAGTAAACAAAAATAAAGATCGAGTGTCGAGCGGTCATACGAAAATTTGCCTTGTAAAGTGGAAACTGGTTACTGGTATCAAGTCAAACTACATCGAGACGATGAAGACGCTTCTGGTGTTTGCACCCCAAGAGTTTTGCAGAGAAAAGCCAGGTTGTATGTACGGCTTTGTGTCCCATGAGGCAAACGAAAACGAGCAGCTCACCAAATTCATGATCCTGGGGTGCACGGATTCCGTGAAGAGCATCAACAGGACTGGCATACACGTGCCCCTGGGTTACTTCCACGGTACCGAGAAAAAATGTGAGTACTGGGATAAGAGGCTGCCCCACTGGATAGAATTGTATCTCGCTGAGCAAACGTCCACCAGCACTTGTAATTACGAGTATGGATTGAGAAACGTGATACTGGAAAATCAGAAAGTTTCGCTTGACAGCTGCCACACTGTTTTAATTGTGTACGACAGACAATGCTTTTTGAGGGCAGAGTTGTATACCAGTAAGATGCCCAGGGATCACTTGACAGAGTTGAGAGACGTGCTGAAGAAAGAGGCTGCGAGAGAAGAGAAGAATAGACTGCACAACACTTTCCTAGCAAATTTTAAAGAATTTTTTTTTTTGCTTCTAGTGCTTGCATTACTCAAACCTGTCTCGTTTTTTTGTCAAATTAGCAAATTTATGAATCCAGTGTTCAAGTATTCGTCGTTGGGATTGCACTTGACTGAATGGTTTCAAAACGCCAAATGGACTTTGACGACACTTTTGCAGAGCAAAAGACTTACACTAAAGACTACGAATTATATCTTGGCTATAATTATTGATATTGTGTTGGGGCACCTGTTTTTGAAGTTACTTTTGCATTTTTTGGGGAGTACTTCAAGGTTCGAAATTCTTGTAAACCACGCAGGAGTAAGATTTTTTTGCATTATCTTGTATTTTATTTTAATGAATGAGCCATTTGATAAAATTTTTGGTTTTCTTTCAGAGAGTGGTCGAGTCATTAAAAGGGCTCGTGAACTGGTTGATGGGATCCCCAGCTGGATTGAAGTTGAATCCACCTTTTAATAATGTATTAGGAAAATTTTTCTTGTATCATATACACCTTTGGTGGGCATTTCTAAATGTGTCCAAACCAATGATGGAGTTAGCTATTGATGTAATTTTGTTCTTTGGTAGATTTGGTATTACCTTTCAAATTTCCATTGTGGCCGATCTTTTGGCACTAGTTAGTTTTCACACGTATTGTATTTATGTTTATGCTGCAAGGTAACTGAAAAATCAAGATTAATTTTTTAAAATACTTTTTAAGTCACTAAGTTTTTACAACTTGTTTCTTTTTTTCAGACTGTTTAATATACAAGTTAGAGGGTTGATAGCACTTTTCAGATTATTTCTTGGAAAGAAGAAAAATCCTCTTAGAAAGAGAGTTGACTCTTGTAAATATCAACCTGATCAACTATTTGTTGGTACTTTACTTTTCACAATACTTCTATTCCTAATGCCCACAACTTGGGTATATTATTTTGTCTTTACAGTTGTGAGTAAATAATTACCTGTATAAAAAAATGTAATCACCAATTGGCTGTTACTAAAGTAAAATTACTTTGTTTTTATAGCTTAGACTTATAATGATAGGACTTGGAGGTCTTCTAACAAGGTTGAAGTTTTACTTGCAAATTATGCCAGTATATGCTTTCTTCAGATGGCTTTTCAAGACTGTTGATGCAACTGGTTAGTACCTATTATTCAAGAACAATTATTCAACTTGAAGTTATAAAATAAAATATATTTGCAGGCTCAATAGGAATAGAGTTAGTAGACAGACAAAATCAGGGTCTAATTGTGTTGAAGACAAAAGCCATAATTGTACCATGGAATGAAACATGGAAAAAATCAATTCCAGATTTAATCAGTATTTATTTACCAATTGAGTGGAATAAAATTGTCAGCAACGTATTTTGGGGACAACTTTTGTATCCATTCTAAATGTAATTTGAAAGAAAAAAAAAAAAAAGTTCCTGTTGAATGTACAAAGGTGGATTTGAATTTGTAGAATAAAACTTTTTTTTATAATTACCTAAACACGTTTTATTGGTTAACTCAAAATATGTACATTTTAATGACTGTTTATTTTGGAAAAGACTCCTTATCCAAAAAAAAAAAAAAACGCGGCTAATCTATAAAACACAGCAAACAATGAAATCATCTACTTTTTTGTTCCTGTGCCTTTTGTAACTTTTGCTGTTCATGATACACCACAAATTCAGGCTTACGATCAAAATCAATATGAGGGAATAATTTATCAAGGCCTTCAATAGTTTGTGGCAGAGGCTTGTACATCATTTCGTCAATGTCATTTTCTTCTCTGAGTACACAAAAGTACAACATAAATGTAATTAAGCTTGTCCATATTACATAAGGTGTATACCAGACATACTCTGGCGGAGGTGGCTCGCGGTTCCATTTTGCCAGCCACTTTGATGCTGGTGATGTGGATAAAGGAATGGGTCTGTCATCGTCCTCTTCATCCTCTTTCTTTTTTAATTCTTCGGTAATTTCTCTAGCGTAATTTTTTTTTATCACTACGTAAGATGGTCTGCAAATAAAGATTCAAATCATTGTTTCAATCGCATTTAAATTTTTAGCTATTTGAAATAAGTTTAATAGTTACATTTTTTCATAGTACGATTGAGGCAAGTTTCATTGCAACAACACACCCTTAGATTATGTTAAGAATGTTTAAATACACCCAATAATTATTTTCAAATAAAATTTCTATTTATGAAACATCATCTAATGAAGAAAAAAAAAAATTAAACATGTACCATTGTCAATCACCACTTTAACTTAATACAACAGTTTGAAACATAATTGAAGGACTTTGAAAAAAAAAAAATTTAAGTGGAAAACTTTAACAAATACTTAAAAAATATAATACAAAATTTACCTGCTTATTCGACATAAACATGATGAAATCATGCCTAACCTCGGTACGAGCATTTTTATTACTACTCCAAGTCGGTGTGCACGTTTTCGTACTGACAGCTACTTAACCGTTGTCCCTATAAAATCACACGTGTTATTTTTGCGTTCTCCCTTTACTGGAGAAATTAAGAAAAAATAATTTTTTTTGTACACTGAAATAACGAAAAGTTATACTTACTTATAGTTTCATAATATTATTTGCAACCAAACGCGAGCATCACTAGACTGGTGTCCTAGTACATGTGATACACAGTTTAGTGTATATATGCATATACGTATACATAATTGAATAAAAAAATAGGTAACAGGTTATGACGACTGAAAGCGGAAACATTATTCAAAAGAGTAAAAAAGGTAAAATATAAAATAATTAAACAAGTCAATTTTTCTATTGCGAAATTATTTAAGAAGTTTAATTTTTCAGCAAAGGACAAAGATAAGGATTTTAAAAATACGGAGAAGAAAAATTTCAAGGATGGTGGCAAAGTACAAAAGAAAACATTAAATAAACAAAAGAAAGCTAAGAAAGATAACGATACATTGTCGGAACAAGTGGACGTGTTAGTATCATTAATTTTTAAACAAATTAAGTTATAAACATATTGACAATTATATTGATTTTAGAGATGACGTAGATCAAGCTCTTGATGAGAGTTTGGATGTGGATAGTAAAAGTAAAGATGTAAAGAAGAAGCCCTCCAAAAGGCAATTAAAAAGAGAAAAGGCTGCAAAGCGTGAAGCTGAAGTCAAAGAAAAAGTTAAACTAGAAGTTATTGAAAAGGCCCTTAACTATGTATCAAAAGTAAGTTTTACAAATTTTGAATTCTCAATTAAGCATAGAGGAGCTTCCAATTATTGAAGTGCAATTGTATTTTCAGTGGAAACATGCAAGATCCCAATGGAAATTTGAAAAAGTCAAGCAGATTTGGTTAATCAACCATTTACTTAGTGACACATACATTCCAGATGAGCATTTTCCAACTGTGATGGAATACTTTGAAGGTTGCAAAGGTCAGGCTAGAAAACAGTTGATAGACAAAGCTATGGAAATCATTAGGAAGGCAGAGGACAACATTGAAGAAGACGAGACAGTAGTTGAAACGACAGAGTATAAAAGAGCTAGGCACCTAATACAAGCATTGCCAACTGAAACATAAAACTTAATGTTTAACAAGTCAATTTTTTATTTGTTTTAAAAGTTAATTCTATCCCTACAAAATTTCGATGTATAAAAAAAGCCTCTGATTCTTCAACACAACATTTATAGCTGTTAAAAGTACAACATTATACATGTAAAAATAGTATTTTTACATTGACTGAATAATTAATCCATTATCTACAGTTATCTTACTCGTCTGCATGTTTATTTACAAATTTTCTGAGCTTATCAGTGTCCTGCAAACCGATAATCTTTTCCATTACTTTTCCTTGTTTCATCACCATCAGCACGGGAACAGAAGAAACCTACAATGATTTTGTACATAAGAAAATTAATCAAATTTCAAACCAGAACTTATTGCTTACTTCGTAATCTAGTGCCAAGTCAGTATTCTCGTCGATATCGACTTTAGCTAAAATAATCTTGCCGTTTTTTTCAGCAACCACCTGCTCGATTCTGGGAGTCAACAATCTGCATGGATTGCACCATCTAAAAATCGCAAATTATTTGGTTGAGTAAACTCACCATCAAGTGTACTTAATAAGATCTCTGTATAAGTCAACTTACGTGGCAAAGAAATCAACAATGACAGGAACCTTTGAGTTTTTCACTCTTTCTTTAAAATCATCATTGTTCTGTACTTTAAAACTCGTAGCTATCACAGACTTCTCTTGAACTGGAGTTGAAAAAGTCCTAGTGCCTGCAGCTCTGAAGAGTGCCCTCGTTGCGCTTCTCAACATTTTTTTGTTTATCTAAAATTTTAATACTTACATGTGTATGTTGTGATGGAAAAATAACAAAAATTAAAATAAAAACAAGGGTAGTATGTGGCCTCACATTTGAATTAAACAAACATAAGTGTGAGTGTATGTATAAAATTGTTCTAAACAACACTTACTTTCTTTTGCTCTATTTCCCCTTCACAGAAAACAAAATACATACATTTCTAAGGTTAGGTGCATTGGGAGAAAAAACACACACACGCACCTTCGGCGCGAAAAAATATAAAATTGCGGTAAAGGTTGTAAAGTACTTTTTTTTATTGTACTTACACTTGTATCTTGTACTGAACTGTTAAGATGATAGATTGAGAACAAAGCTTTTAGCCAATATTTAAATCATTTTTAATTAAGTATTCGTAGAATGACTTTTATAAAAAATATAAGTTTTAATAAGAGTTAACACTTTTCACACATTTTATTACTGTATCCGTAAAGTGTTTCAAACACTTGTTTAAGAGATTCAGTGATATCGCACGTGAAAACTGATGGCTGTGGTAGATCTACTGATTTTTCTACAAGTTTTGATAAATCATGAAGTAAAGCTGCGTCAAACTGAATGGATTTATTTTCTATATTTTTAATTAAATTGTTATGCTGTATCCACAAATTTACTTCTCTAGAATTCGGCTTAGCGAGCTAAGGAAACACCCGAAAATAAGTTTTAATGTTCGTGGATAGTTTTTATGAATTTAACGATTGTATGTTACCTCCAAAGATGTTTTTAAAACATCATAGCATGGCCAATTTTTTTTGCAAGCAATGCAATCACATACAAAATTAAAAGTCTCCTTCAAAATCTTTTGTCTCAAAATTTTTTCTCCATCATAATATGAGCAATAATAAGTATCAAATATCTGAGATCGAAAATAAAAAAAATTGTTAATGTATCAAGCGAAATAGGATTAGTTACATAAATATTAAACATTTACTTGGCTATTTTTTTTAATCGGTTGGATTGCAAACAAAATCAGTTTTTGATCTTCTGTATAACATCTACTAGCATTTGGACTGCAGTTATTATTTGTCAGACTAGCAATTGGTAAAATGCAGGTTCCCCTCGTGCAACACCATTTTTCTATACATGTCTCTTCATCCCGAAAATATTTGCATTTATCAGTGGCATTTAATACCTAAAAAATGTTTACAGGTGTCACAATGATATCTGAATTTTATGAATTTTGAACCTAACAAACTCACGCAATGACTGTTAATGCTACTTATGGTTGATAATCTTAATAGCAGGGAGCCAATAAAAATAGCATTTGAACTTTCTAACAGTGCATTAACTGAGAACTTGAAAGCTTCTCCAAAAAATTTTGTATACTTTGCTATACAAGTAAGAGCAATAGCGGCAAATATTGCAAGGCCTTTCTTCTCACTTCTAGACACAGAGTGAGATAGGCTATATAAACTTATAAACTTGTCACTCTCAAATCTACCATTTTTAGAAAAACCCCTCTTGCATGGATCTGCAATCATACATTGAATAAAAAATTTTCTGATGGACCAGTTTAAAATGTAAAATTTGTTTTAGAAATTCACCTGCACATTGATCAACACTTTTCATCTGTACTTTCAGTTTTTCTAAGCTCCCAGCTTCTTTTAGAGCCTTAAGTAAAACCCTAATACCAATTCCATCAAATCGAATTTCCTTGCCTGTATATTCTTTAGCATGATTAGAAAAATAACATATGTAAAAAATACAAAAGCACTCTATGTCGTGATACTGTTCCCAAGCATCTTTTCTACATTTTTCAGAGCAATACATCATCCATCCACAGTGTTCGCAAGGTACTCCTGCCCAATTGACAGCCAAACAGTGGCCACAGTGCGGATAAAGATTCTGAGTGTTGAAGCTATTTACATAAGGTTTTTCAACTAATATTATCTCACCCGGTCTTATGTCACGTTTAGCCGCCAAATATCTACCATACTTGGCACTGTGTTGTATTTTCACTGAATCGCATAATTTTTTCCTGGACAATAAGTTGTCATTGTTGTTTTCTAAAGAAAGCTTTGAAGATTCATCAAGATTCTTGAGCTTCTCATCTGAATTATGACCATTCTGAGATACAAACATTAAATTTATGTAAAGAAAATTAATGTCAGGGACAGCAGTTTATGGAGCTCTTACACAAAAACTTACTAATTGACTTGATAGCTCCTTGCGTCTCTTTTCTAGCTCAATAGTTAAATTAAATAGCTGTAAGCTCTTATCCCTGCGCTTGGTTAGCTTTATTCTCAGATTTTCATCCAGAGTAATCGCCAGAGCTCTCTCCACATCCTGAATGCACTCCGACCACTTCTTCAAGTGAAAGAGCAGAGCAGATCTGTTTCCGTAGGCACATGCCAACTCTTCGGACTGGTTGGGTGCAAAAGTTATGCTCTTGCAGTAGAATTTCAATATTTCAAAGTGCTCCTCAGTGGTATGGTGCTGCTTCACGTAGAGCGCGTTTCCCTGTTTCCTCGCCCTTTCGGACACTTGAGCAGATTTCGGAATTCTCTGGAGTTCTTCAGTTTCGATTAATTTCACAAGCTCAAGAGTTTTAAGCTCTCGGATCAAAAGCTTGGCTTCACCTTCCAACGCATTCATGGTGGATTATCTCGATCAATTGATCAACAATCACTTTGGTAAATAAATTATCTGTGAGTGTTGGGTATAAACTCACTTTATCCAAGTGCTTTCCACGAGAGCAATGATCTGATTGATGATTGATGTGATAATCTCTCTCTTATCCCTATTCGATAAGTATATGTGAGATTTAAAAAATTATGCAATGCAAGGTGTACTACTTAGTTATTAGGTTCCTGATGTAAGTACAACAGCTGATTTTGCAGCTTTCAATTTTTACCACTTGTCGTTCGTGTCACACACTCATGTGTTATACCATTCCAAAGTTCCTATGTTATTGGGTCATTTGTGGAGTTATAACCATTCCAAAGTTCCTGTTTTATTGGGGTCATATGGGGTTATACCATTCCGCCGTTCCCTGCGTTATTGCACATCATCATTTCACTAGTAATATAACCCCAACCACACAGTTGTCACGTCGTATGTACAAATATTAATACTAGCAGCCCCCCGTCTCGGCTTCGCCCGAGACTTACTAAATAAAACACCGTAGTGTGTTGACATGTAACGTGAAACATTTTAAGTTAGAAATTTTATACATATTCCTGATACATCTCAAAACAAAAATCTTCTTATTGAAAACATACTTTTTCGGAATCCGTATAGTTTATTTGGTCAAATAATAAGCTGTAAAAATTAAAAAAAATAATTATGCTCAAAAGTACCGTGCGTTCTTTATGCCATAAAATAATCGGTGGCTATAAGAAGCCGTTGATTTACAGTTTCTCCCGTGTAATTCACGAAAACGGCTATTTTTTAAAGCTGTTAAGATTTTAAACCCCCAAAAAATTTATGTTAAAAAAAAATTTTTTTCTCATATCTCACAACTTTATTACCAGAGCAACAAAGTCCTGGACCTTGAACCCTACATTTTTATTGCCACAAAAACACAAATACATTTTCTACTTATTTAAAAATCTGAAGTAGGATCTTTAAAGATTTCAGAGATTGCTGTGAGGGTACAATGAAAAGCTGATCTCTCACGTAATGGACT